CGAGGAACCACCGGACTCAATCTTGGATGCGCTCATGGAAGATAGTAATATGTTGTCCTTACTTGATTGTACTTTTGGAGGATCGTTTGGGTCTTCGATTTCAGGCGGGACACTATTTTTCTCTTCGTTTGGGTTGAAATCCTCGACAAAGTTTATCAAGAACCATTATACATCCTATTCTCCTAAGTTGTACGTTGTTTCTTCTTCCACAAAAATCGTTCACCTTCTTAGGAAGAAAAAAAAAAGGTATTCAAGTTAGTCCAAGTTCAAGTAAAAGTCATGAATAAATATAGTTAGTTGGTGAATATTGGTAAGCGCATAATTATTTCTAGAAAGACAAAATAAAACTAAATATTGAACTACGAATAACTTGATTTTGTCTTAGGACACGTAGGCAGTCTAACAAAGATGTTAGATGCAAGCATGAATTAAAAGAAAAGTTATTACGTTGTTAAATAGGTACTTTCTAACGTCACTTGTCGATCCTAGACGTACTTCGAGATTATGGCTTGACATATATTTTTCAAGAACACAAGTTTAGAGGAAGAAATTAATTTGGGCACTATCTTACAAACCGTCCTACTTCACTTCACTTGAGTTGATTAGGCTTTTGGACCACCACTTATTTTGTTTTTTGTTAGCTACCTACCACTAAGTATTAGTTAGCTATAAATGAGATTACATTGACAAATTAGACGAACCAGAGCTGTAAATCCAACACTCAATAGTTCAACCAGCACATGATGATTCAGTAGTTGGGAACAAATTTCAGACTCATACTATACACAACATGTCCTAATTTTGATTCCTAACGCTCGTGAATTACACAAGTGACAAAGAAAGGTTGAAATACCTCTATGAATCTTCTCATTCCTCAAAATAATAGGCTGCCGTGACAAAACCACATGTTGATCTCTCTTTTTTTTTCTTTGTTTCTTTTTAAACATTCATAATGCTTTGCCTATGAAACGCCTGTTATTACTTATACCAGAAAAGGCAATTTGTAAGATAACTCTACTATTAAAAGCTCTTTATTTTCCGGCTTATAAGACATTCCAATAAGAAATAGGGAAATTATCAGAAATGACCTATTTTCTTATTTTTTGGATCAAAATAGGACAAACCGGCAATACACACTCCATGCATACTTAAAACCGAAATGACTAAAACCCCACATATAAATTGTAAAGACTCACAGAATATTATATCGTTTTTCTAATTTGGAAGAGAGGGACATCGAGAGAGAGCGGTGAGCTTTGGGTTTCTAAGTTGAGCTCAGATCCATGAGCATACCATGTGCATGTCGTGTACATATAGAGTATAAGCAAGCTTAATAAGAAGAGAGCACACGAGTTCGCGAAACAATTTCGTCCATATCCTTCTCTCTTCTTCTTTCCATTCTGATTTCTATCTTTTCCCTCAAATTTCTCTTTTTTTCCAAAAGCCAACTAAACTTTAATACGTTTTTTTTCTTTTAATTGCAGCCAAACCCAAATCCTATTTTAGTATTTGTATATTTAGATCAAGAGAGGGAGCAGAAAGAGGAAGAAGACACAAGAAATAAAAACCCACATAAAAAAAAAACAAATAAAAAAAAACCAGAATTAACAAAATCAAACAATGTGATTTTGTCAAATAGATGGCCATTGAACTAACACAATTAATATGACAAAAAATAAAAATAAAAAATAAAACCCCACCCCCACCACCCTCAGTCTTCAAATAGGGTTGCCTGGACTTGGATGATGAAGTGAATCAATTGAGGGGAGAAAATGAAGATGAGAAGCTCACCATTCAAAACTAGGAATTGCCATCCATAAAGCGGAGGAGAGCAGAAAAGTGCCGGCGGCTAGTAGAGGCACAGTAATGAACTACGCTCGGAATGATGATTCGAGATGCTACGCACCAGTAAGACCCAAATGGGGTTGCGCATGTGGACTTGTATAGTTTCCTATAATTTAGGATTTCCTAGTTTATGATAGATTTCATGTAATTTGGAATAAATTTCTTTGTAATCTTCTGTAATCGTTCTTCTAAATTTAGTTAGGATTAAAATTATATATTATACCTCTTCCTCAGAAAAATAAATATATCATTCAAAGTATTATCTTTTTGGTATCAAGGCCTAGGTTAGAAAAATAAATAAATAAATAAACAGAACCATGCTATTGGCAGAATCGGGAATCACCAACTGTGCTGCCAGTTGTGCCCCACATCGTCGAACCAGCCAACGACACTATCGTTGCTGACTCAGAATCCACCGACAATCACCAACCGCGCAGCCAGTTGTGCAGCGCCCTCACCGAACAGCTTGCTAACCTGAATTCACCAACGATCCCATCATCCGCCCACCAAGATCCGCTGCTGCATCACGTGCACACGAACCCAAAAACCGTATCAAACTGTACCTGCTGCTGCCTGACAAAACCCAAAATTCTACAACACATCGCACCGATTGCGTCTTGCCAGTTTGAAGTCCTGGCCCAGATTCGTGTGTCCATCACGACCCGCACAGATTCCTTCTTGACGAACCTACAACAACTATTGTTCGAAGGGACCCCATTTGCAATCCTCTAATTCGAAGGGACCCCATTTGGTTCCCCTCACGGTTGTGAAATTGTAGATTTGGGGGTATAGGTTCCAGAGAAGGGTTTTCGAACAAGCAGAAAATGATGATTGGGCTGGGCAAAATAACTCATTTATATACGAGAACAAAATAAATCTCCGATCTACGAGAACAATTAGGTTATTTTTAATTATAGGAAAAATTCTATTTTAGTCATATTGTGGTGCACGCGGTGTGTATATTGTGTGCATAAGCGAAAAATCATATTTTGATCTCAAAATTAAGAAAATGAGTCATTTCTGATAATTTTCCTAAGAAATATTAGCTTATTTGAAATTACATATGTAAGAAGCACTTGTTTTGGAAAGTATATCATTAACGCAATAAAACCAACCATAAATATTAATTAGATAAAACTTCTCTCTACAACATTAGTTTGAGAAAATTAAATTAATGGTCCCTCAACTTTAATTTAATAAGTAAATCAGCAATGGTTTTTCAACTAAAATTTTGGACTATTGGTCCCTTAAGCTGTCAAACTGTGTAGCTAATGACGTAGCCATCAATTATTCAGTGGGTGGGTTAAGCTAAAATTATTACTACCAAATAATTTTTAATCTATTTTTGCCTATATAAAGTTATATAATTGTAAACCTAAAAGTAATAATTTTTTTTTTAAACAAACGATATTGTTTACACTAAGAGGGTGCAGAAGTGGGCTAAGCCTCACCATGGGCTAATAACAATGTAGTTCAAATTCATCTTTAGCAAGAATCGAACCTAAAACCTCTCACTCACCAGTGAAGATGAATATCATTAGACCGGAGTACTAAATGGCAAACTTGAAAGTAATAATTTGAAGCGATAAATTTATACTATGTTTTATGAGCTTCTAGGCTCTAGCATTCAAAACTCTCAAGTGAATAAACTAAGGAACTATTTATGGTATAGAAGTTTTAACTTATTACTATTAAATTATAATATTGGTTAACGTGATAAGTTTATTTAACATTTATTAACTTTTATTTTCCTTAAAACAGCTTTAAGATTCAAAAAAATTATTCACCAAGTGAAATTTGACAATTAAAAATCATAAAAAAATCCAAAAATTAATATTTTAAAGGTTAAAGAATCAAAACTCTCCCTTCTATAACCTAGGGAGCCTTATACTTGGCTCTGCCTGTCCATGCAGCTATGATCATTTTCATCAATTTTGTTAGAACTTCTGTCAAAATAAGTCATGTGCCACGCGTGATGCTAAATCAAGGGGCAAACATGAAAAACCAAATGAGAAAATTGTAGCAATAGCCTTTCAACTGTAATCCAATTGAAGTAATGATCTTTCAACTTTAATCTAATTGTAGCAATAATTCTTCTAACATAACTCATTTTGATGGAAGTTCTAACGTAATTAGCAAAAAGAACCATAGTTGCACATTTTTACGAGTTAAGAGATCAATGATCACGAATTTTTAATTGAATGATCATTGTTCCAATTAGATTAAAAATAAAGAACTATTGTTATGATTTTCTCTTTATTTTTATCTATGTCCTAATCATAATTGGTATTCTTGAGCAATGAAGGCATATTTCATTATCATTCGTTTACGTTGGTAATGCCGATTTAGGGCACCCCAGAGCAATTATTGACAATTTTTTTTTCTTCCCCATTTGGCACGAGAGTTGCCATTATTTGGCAATTTGGTACAATGATTAAACATCGTTTTCTATATGTTAAAACTGTCAGGTACATAAATTGGCATATTTATTTCTGTTAAATATTACGCATGTACTTATATATTTATATTATAGGAAGGTATCTTGACCAATTTATTCTCGGTTAATAAAATTAGAGGAGACTTAAGATACGTTATTTAACTATCAATATTCTTTGATTGAAACTTTATTTGTCCTTAGTTTTTAATCGAAGTCAATGATGTTAATGTAATAACGTATTTCTATATAAGTTACTATATTTTTCTAAATAAAAATAAATTTTTTTATTAATGAGATTTTAAATAAGCTCATTATTTCTAGGATTAAAAATAATAATATATAAATTATGCTCCCTAATATATTGTATATGTATGTGTATATATATGTCTACATATATACACACACAACATATATATACACACACACATGGGTATATTCATCAAAATTAACAAAAAAAAAAAAAAAATTGTACCAAAACAAGAGCACACCATACATTCTTCAAAACCACCAAGAATAAAAAATAGATATTAGGCTTAATGACACTAGTAAATTTCAATTAAACTCAACATAGATACATTCTCAAATCAACGAAAAAGAATGTACCCATATAAAGTTTAAAAATGAATTAGAAAAAAAAATTGAATTGATTTTATATAAAAAAAAAAAATGGGTACATTTTCCACATAATAAATTGGTACATTTAATAATGGGTAAATTTAGGATTAAAAAATTTGAAAAATTATATGAATGGCTAAATAAAAGTGATAATGCATGGCATGTTCAAAGCATACTACTAATTCAAAATACAAGTAGAAGGTTATTAGAAAGTGCGATTACAAGAAGCATGGATCCTACATTGAGAGGACTCGAAGATACCAATGCGGGAGTGCCTTAACGCCAAGATTGTGCGCCTCAATTCTAAGTCCTAAGAAGGCGCAAAACAAAACATAATACTAAACACTTAATCTTCTATATGCTAACCCCCAATTTAAAAAACTCATATAGCATAATAAGTATTGGTTTTCCTAAAACCCTTGTATAACATAACAACACACCTTTCATAAAACGTATATCATATATAATGTGCCTGGTAGTGGTTTCACAATCTATATTGCCCAACCGAAGCCATATATAAACATCATTTGCCCGTAGGCATATAGTATGAATAATCACTAAGTAAGCACATAAAATCTTGAATGTAATCTTTCCTAAATATATCTCAGTAAACAGCTATTCAATAAAACATGATATTTCATAAAGCGTAAATCTAATATACTAAAAAACTTAGTTATAAACTCATGCTTTTCATGTATGCCTTTCTAGTAGTAAAATAATGCATTTTGAAAGGGATCCATTCATAGATACTCCATTGTCAAAGAGCCATGTGAACTAGGAAGGACGTAACGCACCTAAACACATAAAGGGACCAATTACTAAAACCTTACTAACACAATCGAATTTGGGAAAACGAACGTCATAAACACAATTAGGATGTTGGAAAACCTAAGGGGGAACCTCCCGTACCCCCATGCACTACCACGTGCTGAGTTGGGTCACTAGAAAGTTGCCTTGAAAAATCGCCATCAACGAAGCACAGTACCTTCGACGGAGGCGCGTGTGCTCCACGCACTGACTAGAAACTAAGATTCGGTATGGTCTGATCTAATTCGAGTTTTGGGTATAGAGCTTGATTTCTGGGCTGGGTTAGGTAGTTGGGCTTAGGCCAAAAGCTAGGGGTTTGGACCAGGTAGCAAGTTGGGTTCGAATCCAGGTCTGGTCAACCCGATTTCAGGCCGTTAATAATGGGATGGCCACATGCTGGCCGACACCCGAGGATGACACAAGCCATTTTATAAATGCATATGCCGAAAACATGTTATGCATTATCACTTTTAAATTGTTGACAGTTGAATATTATATCTTATTAAGGTTTGTACTTGATTATTACATTGCATGATTACATGCAAAATGCATGTTTCACATGTTTTCGGTATATGCATTCATGAAATGCCTTGCGTTACCTTCGGATGTCGATTAGCACGTGACCATCCCGTTATCCTTCAAACACTAGGATCGGGGCGTCTTTAATTCTACAGACTTCGATCAAAATTAACAAGGTCTTAGTGAATGAACATTTGTAACTAGGAACTACAAACAAACTTTCTTAAAATTATATACCCTTTGGTTGGTGACATTTATGACTGGTGCATTAGGACTTTCATTTCAATTGTCTTTAACGATTGGAATTGCTCTAGACTTCAAACGTTTATGATTATGTAAGTTAACGTATTTAATGTTGCTGCTCAATTTAGTTTTGTAAATCTAAAGGTGAAACTGCTCATGAGAGGCGAGGATTTTGAAACAATGGGATGAGTTTAGAGGTAACGCGATACATAGTACATGTTAAGGGATAAAGTGAGACAAATCTAATATTGGTCTTGCTAAGTCTAGTTTTAATTAATTTGTTTATTGTTTTTTACTCGAGTACTTGCACCTTATTTGCAATTGCAGAAACAGTTCAAGATGCACACTTTTTAGCTTAAAGAGGAGAACGTTTTACTCTCTCCACGTGATTTAGCAATGAATGTCGGTTAGCTATATATTTACTACAAACGTAAAACGTACAGGACGATAGCTATTTTGAGGATGCATTTTCTTTCATTGAGCATGAGGGTGTTCTATTGGAGAAAGATTGTCGTTACTCTGATGATTGGATAAAGGAGGCAGCATTCAAATGAAAGAAAATTGAGAGAACAGGAAAATACATTTTTATTAACTCGTATGAGATACTAGAGGACAAGGAAAGTCTTTTTGGAGCTTTGATGACTCAACCAAAAAAATCGAACATAAAGGTCGCAACAAACAAATCAGTTACAACTGATTGAGTCGTCAAAGCTCTAAAAAACCTTTCCTTATCCTCTATGACCTCATACGAGTCAATAAAAATACATCTTCCCATTCTCTCAAATTTTCTTTCCTTTGAATGCCGCCTCCTTTATCCAATGATCGAAGCAACGACAATTTTTCTCCAATAGAACGCCCTTATGCTCCATGAAAGAAAATGCAACCTCAAAATAGGCATCGCCCCGTACGTTTTATGTTTGTAGTAAATATATGCCTGGCCAACATTTATTGCTAAATCACATAGAGAAAGTAACACGTTCTCCCCTGTAGCTAAAAAAACGTGAATCTTGAACTGTTTTCACAGCTACAAATAAGGTGCAAGTATCCGACTAATAAACAATAAACAAATTAATTAAAACTAGACTTAGTAAGACCTATATTAGATTTGTTTCACTTTACCCCTTAATATGTACTATGTATCACGTTACCCTCTAAGCTTGTCCCATTGTTTCAAAATCCCCACCTCTCACAAGCAGTTTTAACGCCAAACTTGCAAAACTAAATTGAGCAGCAACATTATATATGTCAACTTACGTAGTCAAATTTCCAATCATAAGCCTTATAAGTCTGGAGCAAATCCAATTGCTAAAGACAACTAAAATGAAAATCCTAATCCCAAACATGAAGCACCATATAGTGATAATCTAAACATATGAAGAAAAAAAAAAAAAACCAGTAAAGAAACAGTGAGCAGAAGAATCACAAGATTCATAACCAAATCAAGTAATTATTATCTCAAACTGAAGCTTCTAAACTCCAATTCCTTGATTTGAAAGTTGAGTGAAACCTCTAAAAGTTGGTGACAACTTAAACAAAAAACGTCGGAGCTCAGATGGATCAGGATTCAAGACAAAAAAGGTACGTAGCATGATTCTTCTGGAAATGCAGCCAGACTTGGGGTTTTGGCAGCTCACAACACAATTTCCTTGCAATGAAGGTTTTGGCAGCCACATTAGAAAGCTCAGAAGCATGCTCTGCTCATTTAAGGGGACATGGCCTGTGGCAGAGACGACTCCTAGCTCATTTAAGGAGAAGGAAAGAATCCTAGCCACATCATCCGCACCTTAATGGAAGAATTGGCAGATTTTGGTGGTAGGAGAACTTTAAAACATTGAGAAGAGTTTTGAGTGAAAGCCTAAGTTGCAAGGGTAAAGTGAGACATGTGCAATAGTTGAGGGTGAATAGATCTAGGTACTTTGTGCCAATCGAAAGGTTCTGATTAGTCAAAAGGAAAACTGTACATTTACAGTTCAATAGAATGAGAAGTTTGTCCATATTTCAAATTAAGTTAAAGATACTCACCCCAATCAACTTTACTATGAACAACTGGGCTTACATACCCACACGAACGCCAGTGAAAAGGCTTCAAAGTCATGCTATTAGCGGATGAATGATGCCGAAAACCTCATGTTGCTGCTGCAAATAAAGTAAAGTAGGATTGGTCAGTCAAAACGGCAACAAGGCAATCAAAGAGGCATATAACACACACAAAAAAAAACATACAAGTTGAAGTAGCGCACCATTAACAAACTTTAGCCAATATAGCCATAAACTCAAGTAGCTTTCCACTAAAACCCGATATAAACACAATGGGTTAAAGGTTCGACATCACGTGGATGCCCAAACGAATTTAAGAAAAAAATAAAAAAGGTTACAAGATGTTCTAACAATCATAAATTTGAAAAGTTTGAAGTTAAATGAAAACTGATCCATCAATGTACAAATAAAGTGACAAAAACGAGAGCAATACTAAATATCAGTGGGTTTGGCATATATCATGCTCTATCAATATTGCTCAACAAGTCCAACCAAACAAAGGCAGCAGTGCTACAATCTTCTTCCCTAAATGACGTTTCACTTTGTTGTACTCAATTAAACCGCATTCCATTTGGGAAAGTTACAAGTAGAGTAGGTACCCTAATTGATTCTAAACAAAAATTGCTATGAAATTCTGGGAGTTTTATCTTCTGTTTGTACTTTCTAGATATATGATGCAAATGACTTGGAGCTTGTTTGGATGTGCTTTTAAAATAATTAAAAGTATTTTTGGAACCAAACCTTAGTAAAAATGCAATTAAATTCTTCAGACACCGGGATTGGGGCGTGTCTTTAATGGTACAAACTTCGATCAAAATTAATAAGGTCTCAGTGAATGAACATTAGTAACTGCAAACAAACTTTCCTAAAATTATATACCCTTTGGTTGGTGATATTTATGACTATGGTGCATTAGGTTTAGGATTTTCATTTCGATTAGATTTGCTCTAAACTTATAAGGTTTATGACTGAAAATTTGACTATGTGTAAGTTAACGTACTTAATGTTACTGCTTAATTTAATTTTGCAAGTCTAGAGGTGAAACTGCTTGGCAATGATTTTGAAACAGTGGGATGAGTTTAGAGGGTAACGCGATACATAGTACATGTTAAGAGGTAAAGTGAGACAAATCTAATATTGATCTTACTAAGTCTAGTTTTAATTAATTTGTTTATTGATTTTTACTCGGATATTGCACCTTATTTGCAGTTGCAGAAACAGTTCAAGATGCACACTTTTTAGCTAAAGAGGAGAACGTTTTACTTTCTCCACGTGATTTAGCAATGAATGTCGGTCAGCCATATATTTACTACAAACGTAAAACGTACGGGGGGACACCTATTTTGAGGATGCATTTTCTTTTATCGAGCATAAGGGTGTTCTATTGGAGAAAGATTGTCATTATTCTGATGATTGGTTAAAGGAGGCAGCGTTCAAAGGAAATAAAATTGAGAGAATAGGAAAATGTATTTTCATTGACTCGTATAAGATCATAAAGGACAAGGAAAGTCTTTTAACAGCTTTGACGAATCAACCAAAAAAATCGAATATAAAGGTCGCAACAAACAAATCAATTACAACTGATTAAGTCATCAAAGCTCTAAAAAAAACTTTCCTTGTCCTCTTATGACCTCATACGTGTGAATAAAAATACATTTTCTCATTCTCTCAATTTTATTTCCTTTGAACGCTGCCTCCTTTATCCAATTATCAGAGCAACGATAATCTTTCTCCAATAGAACACGCTCATGCTCAATGAAAGAAAATGCATCCTCAAAATAGGTGTTACCCCGTACGTTTTAAGTTTGTAGTAAATATATGGCGGGCCAACATTTATTGCTAAATCACATGGAGAAAGTAGCATGTTCTCCCCTGTAGCTAAAAAACGTTCATCTTGAACTGTTTTTGCAACTACAAATAAGGTGCAAGTACCCGCGTAAAAAACAATAAACAAATTAATTAAAACTAGACTTAGTAAGATCTATATTAGATTTGTTTAACTTTACCCCTTAACATGTACTATGCATCACACTACCCTCTAAACTTATCCCATTATTTCAAAATCTCCACCTCTCACGAGCAGTTTCAATGCCAAACTTGCAAAACTAAATTGAGCAGCAACATTATACATGTCTAACTTACATAGTCAAATTTCCAGTCATAAGCCTTATAAGTCTGGGGCAAATCCAATCGCTAAAGACAACTAAAATGAAAATCCTAAACCCAAACCTGAAGCACCATATAGTCATAATCTAAACATATGAAGAAAAAAAAAACAGTAAGGAAACAATGAGCAGAAGAATCATAAGATTCATAACCAAATCATAAAATATAGAAAGTAATTATTATCTCACTGAAGCTTCTAAACTCCAATTCCTTCATTTGAAAGTTGAGTGAAACCTCTAAAAGTTGGTGACAACTTAAACAAAAAAGTCGGAGCTCAGACGGAACAGGATTCATGACAAAAAAAGAAAGTAGCATCAGATGACTATTCTTTTGGAAATGCAGCCAGATTTAGGGTTTCGGCAGCTCACAACACAATTTCTTTGCAATGAAGGTTTTGGCAGCCACATTAGAAAGCTCATAAGCATGCTCTGCTCATTTAAGGGGACATGGCCTGTGGCAGAGACAACTTCTAGCTCATTTAAGGAGAAGGAAGGAACCTAGCCACATCATCCGCACCTTAAAAGGAAGAATTGGCAGATTTTGGTGGTAGGAGAATTTTAAAACATTGAGAAGAGTTTTGAGTGAAAACCTAAGTTGCAAGGGTAAAGTGAGACATGTGCAATAGTTGAGGGTGAATAGATCTAGGTACTTTGTGCCAATCGAAAGGTTCTGATTAGTCATAAGGAAAGCGGTACATTTACAATTCAATAGAATGAGAAGTTTGTCCATATTTCAAATAAAGTAAAAAAATACTTACCCCAATTAACTTTACTATGAACAACTGGGCTTACATACCCATGCGCGCCAGTGAAAAGGCTTCAAAGGTATGGTATTAGTGGATGAACGATGCCCAAAAACAAAAAACATGCAAGTTGAAGTAGCGCACCATTAACAAACTTTAGCAAATATAGTTATAAACTCAAGTAGCTTTTCATGCCCAAACGAATTTAAGAAAAAAATAAAAAAGGTTACAAGATGTTCTAACAATCATAAATTTGAAAAGTTTGAAGTTAAATGAAGACTGATCCATCAATGTACAAATAAAGTGGCAAAAACGAGAGCAATACTAAATATCAGTGGGTTTGGCATATATCATGCTCTATCAATATTGCTCAACAAGTCCAACCAAACAAAGGCAGCAGTGCTACAATCTTCTTCCCTAAATGACATGTTTCACTTTGTTGTACTTAATTAAACCGCGTTCCATTTGGGAAAGTTACAAGTAGAGTAGGTACCCTAATTGATTCTAAACAAAAATTGTTAGGAAATTCTTGGAGCTTTATCTTCTGTTTGTACTTTCTAGATATATGATGGAGCTTGTTTGGATGAGATTTTAAAATAACTAAAAGCACTTTTAGAGAAAATATTTTTGGAATCAACCCTTAGTAAAAATACAAGTAAATCTTGAAAAAAAAATTTCTCTAAAAACATTTTCAAGTGCTTTCGGAACTTAAAAACATTTTCTCTAAAAACATTTTCAGTCATTTTAAAAGCACATCCAAACGAGTTTTTGATGAAAAGATTGAATTATCTTGACTATAAGAATACTCACGTGTTACAATGTGCCGTTTTAACTAAGGCCGGATTTTTTTTAACTAAGCCACTTACCTATCCAAAATTCCATCTAATACCTACCAAAATTTAACACCAAAAATCCCAACTTTGAGCTCAAAACATATGAAATAGCAATACATATTATATATAATCTAGGTGATATATGACCAACCAATCTAACCATACATGGTTATCAACTCATTTGGGAAGGAAAACATACATACAAAGTTTGATAGAGAAGATGAGTTTGCTAGCTCTAGGCGTTTCTTTTTGAAAATGTGTTATGGATAAAAAGAGGAGAGAAAGACTGTACAAGACAAAGAAATTGATGCTAATGAGGCAAAACTAAAACATGTATACATAAAACTAAATAAATCAATAATCACTTGGTTCGTTTACTTACCAGTCAAATTAGCGTCAATGCTTTTTCTTTCTTTCCTAACCCTTCCATTCCAAAAATCTTGTTATGATTAAAATGACATACAAAACACAAAGGAAAGAAAAAAAATTTACAAAATAAAAATGCAGCTACAAATATAGGTCGCATCAAAGGATAAAGAAGGATCTTACCACGTGGAGAGAGAGCGCCCTCGGCGTGGGTGGAACGATGGGAGGGAAACGTAAAGCTTTGTCATGGCACCTTTTATAGGCTTACAACCTTCCGGAGGAAGGTTTAAACATGTGGTGATGGACAAGCCACCAAGTCCAGAATGAGGTGGATCCGCGCAAATAAGATATTATGTGGTCAATAGGTTTAATAGGTCCACACAAACCTACGAGAGCTTGAAATGTTTTTTAGTATAAGTAATGCAATAGAAATTGAATTTGTATATTAATGATATGCAAAGTGAAGATTAGATTATTACTTAAATATTAATAAATATGTTTATTTTTTATTTGTGATACATTATTTAATTTGTAAATTTAATCAATAGATTTAGTTTCTCTAACTTTACCTTTTGAATGTTTTTCCTTTCTCTTGCACATTTTGGATTATGTACAGATGAGCACAAGTAAATGCATTCTATCTTACAGATCCAGATCCTCTCTGGATCTAAGGATCCTGAGCCTAAAGATCAATTGATCCGGTTCGTTGAAATTTGATCTAACGGCTACAAACAGGAAATTCCACTAAAAATTATAATAATTGTAGCCGTTAGATCAATGATCAATTTTCAATGAGTCGGATCAATTGATCCCTAAGCTCAATATCCTTAAATTCGAAGAAGATCTGGATCCCTATCTTACCAACCACCGCATCATGCAGAGTGTAAAGTTTTACAACCATTTGATCAATAAGAATGTTATAAAGAATGACTAATGAAACTAGAAAATATACTTAATGGATGTGCTCAATTGGAATTAGGATCCTAACCGGATCCTCTTTGTAGGAATTTGGATAATCAATTAATTGTGTTCGTTCATCATACATTGTGCATTCATAAATTATTTAAAATTTTTTATTTAAAAATAAATATAAATAGTACCTAATGAAAACTGACTACACGATATACGATTAACGAATATGATTGATTGATTCTCTATATTCTCACAAAAAGTATCCAAGATCCTTTCAATTGGTCCCTAATTAGCGTATATCATATACATGGCAAAACGGTTTATCTACAACTGTCTTTCAATGATAGACCATCAATCGTTTTTGGTTTTCGCTATCGGTTTTTCCTTTTTTCACGTGGGTTTTTTACAAAGTTTCTTTCGGCTATGTTTGGTGAGAGATTTCCAGGTGCCGAGGGATAGAGGAAAAGTTAGTAAGAAATAGAGAACTTCATGTTACAAAGACATGTATGAGATAAAATATTTATGAACGAATATGCTCATAAAATACATTTCTAATTCTTTCTAATATTTTATGTTCGATGTATTCCTTATACTAACCACACCCCAATTCTTTTTTATAGCTAGCTTATGACCTCTACGTCAAGTGGCATGGGAAGATATATATGTTAATCTTAGCTTTGCAAAAATTTGAAACATCACTTTGTATTTTTTAAGAACAGAAGTTTACAGGAAGAAACACTACTTAAGTGAAGACTTGATCGATGTAGGGTTTAGGGCTTAATCATGTCCAATTTATGAACCTCACCTATAAATACATACCTAGGTTAATGGTCATCAATATCTAAAACTGCATGAAGTTTTTTTTTTTTTACAAAACCCTAACCAAATTACTTAGATTAACGTATATAAATATGTTTAAAACATTTTAATGCTTAAAAATCTTTATACTTATATTTACCCCATCGTAGAAATTAGAAGTGACGAAGCCAAAGATTCTACTATGGGAGTTAAGCTTAAATATCTATAAGCTTAAAATGAAAAAGAAAAAAAAAATGACGAAAGATTATATATAATAACACAAAATCATAGTTTGAAAACTCGTTAAATACAATTTAATTTGAATCTATATTAATTAATTCTATATTTCTAATATGACATTATTAGACATAAACCGTATAATTAGGGTTAGGTGCATGATTGGCTAATTAGTGATCGTTGACACAATTAAGAGAAAAAAAAAAAAACTACATGGTAAATTTCATTCATGAGTTATATTTATGAGGATACGGATCAAAGAATGAAAGTATCATACTTTTCAATGGACAAAAATGGCCAAAACCTTACAGACTTTGATATGAAAAAACCAAATTCATAAAATCATATAATAAAAACTTAAAAGTAAAAAGGGTCAAAAGATCCAGCCTTCATTGGCTCTGCCAGTGGAAATTAGCCTTCTCACATCTAAAGCCCTTATTTTCCCACACCAAAGTATATTTTCAAGGCAGAAGCCACGCGTTGTTAAAATACTATCCTATATATTCTACTAAAAAATTCTTTTTCTGTTCTTATAGCTCATCCCTTTTTTTACTCTAATTGCACCAAGACAACTTTCAGTAAAACCTCAGATCTTATGTAGGTGATAAGACTTAAGATGAAGAAAATAACGGGATAATAACAGTGTAATTAGTAATAAACCAATGGTTTAATCCCAAAATAATTTAATTGTACTTGGCGTAAGTTATTTGGCCCCATATGGCATGGGAAGATATATATGTTAAAACTTTTGAAAGTTTTGATTTCAAATTGGTGAAACTAAAGAGGTTGAGTACATTCGAGATAAAACTACACAGGGTTCACTCCCAATTTCTTTTCTTTTTTCGTTGGTGAGTGGATTCACATGCACCATTAAATATTCACGTGGTAATGTTACAGTAGTCCATGCATGCACAGAGAATCGAGTACGTACGTCCTTATTTTGTAAGCATGCAGGAGTTTCATCACGATTCACGTGCTTCCCCAGGCTGCATAGCTGAGAAATATTAAAGAGCATGCATGTAATGTCAATTTTTATGCAGCGAATCTTCATTCTTTTGTAGTTGAGTTGAAGAAATATCTTGGTACTTCGGTAGTTGAGTTGAATAAATATCTTGGTACTTTGGTAGTTGAGTTGCATTATATGACCAGCTCTTGAAACTTTATCCTTTTGAATTCAAGTTAACTAATTATAGTATGACAATTGATCTATCGTGTTCTTAATATACTATTTGTTTTTTCCTAATTGATGGCCATTAACCTAGGTAGGTAGGTATAGGTGGGGTTCATAAATTGAAGCAATGATGTTTGCAATTAGACTGCCAAAAGCAGAATCATTGATGAAGTTGTGGAGAGTGGTTGGTATTACCAAATGCACTTATGAATTGGTGAGCTTTAGAAACCAGGAGGATCCTCCGGATTTTCTTTATGAGGATCCAAGGAATTCTTAAATTGTGTTTGTTTATTATATATCATATGACCGGTTTTTATCAAGTACTATTCATATTTAATTTAAAATAAAAGTATTTAAAATGATTTCAAACTGCAATTTGAGAATCTTATTCTCCAAATAATACAAAGTCTATTAGGAAAGATCTTCTAGATCCCAAAAGATTCCTAATCTATCTCTACTTAGGATTTATACAATCACAATAATTTGAGAATTTTTAGGATCCTTACAAAAAGGATCCGAAGAGGATCCTCGTTCCTTTACGAAGCCATTGGCCATACTTGAGCTTGAATTGGTGTAGGCCTAACAAATCCAGCTTTTGAAAATTCTTGTATGACTTTTTCTGTGATGATCAGGAGAAATGATCAAATCAATATGTATGTAGATATTCAACTGGAAATATATGTTTTCTATATATAACAAGGGAACTTGTCTTTTTATTTTAATTTTTTTTTCTCTCAAACAAACGATATTATTTAAACTAAAGGGATGGAGATGGGCTTAGCCTTACAATGAGCTAGCAATAATGTAGTTCAAATTCGCCTTTGACGAGAATCAAACCCAAGACCTCTCACTTATAAGTGAAGATAAATACCAATAAACCATAATAATACAAGAAAAAAATAAAAAACTGTTGTGGCCTATATTTAACTAAGGGGTGCGGAGATTGTAGGATAGACTTGAGGAATTGTGCGTTAATTCCCAAGTCATGTGTCTTTATTTATAGTAATAAGGATGAGAGAAGCTTATTCTCCAAGTAATACAAAGTCTATTAGGAAAGATCTTCTAGATTCCAAAAGAATCCTAATTTATCTCTACTTATGATTTATACAATCACATGTATTAGAACGTATGTCACAACAAAAAATACATTCTTGAAAACCCAGAGTCATCGAAAATCCTGATGGGGTTTGGAACATTACGGCCTAGAAGAGTGACTCCCCTCCGTTGCCTATAATTCTCGACCTTGTCAGCCGTATAAGAGGTGCCACCAGTAGTAATTTCTCTCTTTAGGTGGTCCTGTGTTTCAGACGTGCCGCCTCAAGCGGTAATTTTCCTCCACTGCCTCCTATACTTCTTCGCCGCAGTATTTGAGGTGACTTGAGCAGCATCAACACCATAATGATGTGATAACCGAGTGACGACAACCGCCCATAGCACCACCGCCAACAACATCCAACCCACTGAAATAAACAACACAAATTTATAAAGAAGAATGCTAGGGAGATCAAATTTTCAAATCAAATGATGTGTGACCAATAAGAAGTAAACACGTTAATCAACATTTAAGTAATAAACCAATAATCAACATTCTCATCATTTAGTTTAAAATTTATTCTCCCTAGCATTACCCATTTATAAATGAGAACTTGAATGAAAAGTTTCCGGTATTGTTTACTTTAACGAAAAACCATATTTTTACATTAAAAAGTCAATCATGATATTATTCATTTTGCTATTTATTGTGTTTTTATCGTTAAAACTCAAAGTTTTCAAGCCATTTTCATTAGTTTTCCATTTAAATCCCTCAAAATTTTAATTTAATACGCTCTGCTAAATTCATATCCAATTCCCCATTCGAGAGAGTTACCTTCTTCTTGTCCAAGAACAATAGTCATTGCTGGAGATAGCTAAGCTAGGGTTTCTAATTTTTTTTTAAATTTTATTATTATTAAAGGGAGGAGAAAGTTCGAAACTCGATATTACAATAATTTAGGGTTTAGGGAGTTTTAAACTTGAAACTCATAAGTGGAAGTCCAACATCCTACCAACATCTTATCTACTAGGATATTAGACTATATACCTGAATTTAATGATCGAATTTTTAACCAATTAGGAATTTATTTTAGTTTTTATTTAGGTTTCTGATCGCACTTCCAAACCACACTTCTAAACCGCACTGAACGAATGAGTTTGTGTAATTTTTTTTTATTTGAACTAATTTTTGTAAACCCGAGCTTCGAATTTCTTGTCTATAATTGTGATCTCTTGTTCATGTTGCTTTGTCTGCAAGCTTTCTATTTTGTTTCTCTGCAGCCAATCAGCTCCGCATTCACACGTGAAAAGTAATGTTCGGGGAGAAATTTTTCATTGTGATCGGAATACGGGTAGTACATCACTTGCTTTTATACAAGTGGTGGAAAATTTTACTTTTTAAGCTATTAACTTTTTAACACATATATCCTAGTATTTGCATAGTAACACGTGGTATACTATCTCGCATTCTGATCGCACTGAAAAATCTCTCATGTTCGGGGAAGTATTTCCAATGGAATTAAAGGCTGTTTCACCACCAATAAGACCAAATTCCAATCTACTAGGGGTTTAATGTTATTAGTCTACTTTGTACAAATTCATTTTAGATCAGTTTATTGATCACTGAAATTATGTACTCAATGACACTATGTAATTGCATGGTGTTGATTAATGAAAGGCTATGATATTGTTTCTGGTCAAAAAAGGAAGCCCGATGCCAAATTGGCAAATTAGCCCAAACAAATCTCAATCCTAAGTGCCGATCTTTATAGTGCGAGCTTGTAAAGTGATTAGTTGTATGAAAATTTAAGTCGAGAGTGTGAGAGACCATTCTCAGTTTAGGTCACATTAGGCATGCTGCAAGTTTCTGAGTTATTTGAGCATACTCACTGTTCATAGTTGCGTAACAAATTAAAAATTGATAGTCAGATAAAAAAATTGGAAAAAAAAAAAGAGCTCAATACTGAGTAAGGGATTGTGATTCTCTCTCACTCTCTGAAGTCTAACAATTAAGAAATTCAAATCGTTTAAGAGAAAGAGATCCGGACCTTTATTATGTATAAAATGGATCAATAGGAACCGCATAATTCAATTTAAGTGATTCAGATTTCTTGATGCTTGCTTTAAACGGTGAGATCCGGAGAGAGGATCTCTCAAACTGACTCTCTGGTTGACATACTTGTCCGCTTCTTTAACCACCAAAAATTGAGCACAACGGAAAAAACTGTAAAAGCTGAAGCACGCAACACAGCACCAACACCTTTTCCCGGTAAGTGCTTCTGCGGCTCTGCCTCGTGTTTGTATTGAACTCTGATTCTTTAGATTCCACTTTCTGGGCTTATGTTTCTTATATTTCTCTGAGGCATTCCGTCGAACAACTACAGTGCGCACTATTTTTGCTTGCTTTATCTCGAAATTGGTATGAAAAATGTGTCACTGGCAAGATTTTGATATCTGGGTTGCTCGTGTGTTGCCTGAATATTGATTCGGGTTCGTAAATATATTGTCTTTCATCGTTTACACCGTTCTGCTTTGGTTTGTAGAACATAATGTTGTGTTTGAATGGTTTGTATAACAGCACTCTTTTTTTATGATTTTCTGTCGTTATGTTGAATTTTGTAGAGATGAATATGGCTTATATTAATTGAATCCTACTCTCTCTCGCTACACAAACGTATGGATAGATGGATGAATCTTTGTAGTGGTAAAGTAACAGAATGAACCAAAGCGAGCTAAATTGGTTCCCGAAGGTTTTAGTTTAGGGATTTTTCGTTATAATTTTTTTACGAGAATGAAATTTGTAAGTCCTATCCAGTCATCTTGTTCAGTATACGTTTTCTTACAAGACTTTCAGGATATGCAAATATTTATTTCAGAAATCACAGAGGTAGTGTACGATATGAATGATTGGCTTAGAAATAATTAGTGCTGTACTTTTTCTTGTGGTGCTTGTCATGCTCGGTCTCATTACCTTTTCCTGATTAATCTTGGATCAGCAAATATACGGCTGATGTTGAAATCCCATGAAAGCATTATTCTTCCTGTGAGTTGGTTGCCTCTTTGAGTTTATTGGCCTCTTTGAGTTAATCATTACAGTTCATGAGCCCGAAATCAAATTATACCAATTTAATAGTTTGTTTGTGCTTGTAGCGTATGAATCAATGTGTCTAATCACCGTGGTGTGATTATTTTTCTTAATTCTTATGCTGCTTGAAGTGATTCATTTGTTTTAATACTAGGCCTTGAAACTTAGCCATAGATTGCACTGTTATAGTTGCTTTCCAACTTCCCGCTCGTACTTATAATGTTTTGTTTGTCTAACTGTTAAGCTTTACTGGACCTTTAACTTTCGTTTGCTTGGATATCCAGGGTATTGAGATCAGTGAGCGTTTCCAAATGGAAATTTCAAGTTGCCGACTCAGTTGTGCTTATTGTTAAGTTCAACTGAGGAGAGAATGCTCCATTTGACGAGACTAAAGAGATCCAATCAGCTTACTGAAATTCCTCTAAACCTAAAATTTTCTTTCATTAACGCCTTTAAATTGTCCACCCAAATTCTACCGTCGTCAGAAACCAACATTGAAATTGATACGATCGCCAGAATAATTAACAACCATGCTTATCCTGATCAACCACTTCACCCGACTCTTCTCCAGTACATCCCACCACAAGTTCTTTCCACCAGTTTTGTGGAGAATGTTCTTGGTCACCTTTTCGCAGCCCATTCCAACGGTCTTAAGGCCTTGAGTTCTTCAATTATTCCCTCAATCATTCCCAGTTATGTCCAAGCTCAGACGGTTTTGAAAAGATGCTGCACATCCTTACCAGGATGCGTTATTTTGATAACGCTTGGGAGTTGATGGCCAAAATAAGCAGGATGCACCCATCCTTGCTTACCCTTAAGTCAATGAGCATCATTCTGTCGAAAATAGCAAAATTTCAATCGTATGAAGATGTCCCTGAAGCATTTGAAAAACTGGAGAATGATATTTTTGCTGGGAGGAAGTTTGGTACTGATGAGTTCAACGTACTCCTTATAGCATTTTGCACCGAAAGGCAGATGAAGGAGGCACGTTCAGTGTTCATGAAGATGCGTTCTCGCTTTTCACCCAACACCAAGACCATGAATATCTTGCTCCTGGGGTTCAAGGAATCAGGAGATATTACTGCAATAGAACTCTTTTACCATGAACTGGTTAAAAGAGGCTTTAAGCCAAACAGTGTAACTTATAACATCAGAATCGACGCTTACTGTAAGAAAAGTTGCTTTGCTGACGGATTGAGGCTTTTTGAAGGAATGGAACAGGAAAACTTGTTGCCTACTTTAGAAACAATCACTACACTGATCCATGGAGCAGGGGTTGCTCGAAATCCAATCAAGGCACGACAGTTATTTGATGAGATTCGCTTGAGAAATTTGCTTGCGGACATTGGGGCTTACAATGCTTTGATGAGTTCACTTATTAGATCAAGAGATCTGAAGTCGGCAGTCACCTTGATGGATGAGATGAAAAAGAATCATATTGAGCATGATGATATGACTTACCACACCATCTTCTCTGGCTTGATGAGGACATATGATATCGAAGGTGTTTCCAGACTAGATCATAAAATGGTTGACAGAAGTTTTGTGCCCAAAACACGAACGGTGGTGATGATAATGAAATTTTTCTGTGTAAATCATCAGCTTGATTCGGGTTTGCATTTGTGGCAATACCTAGTGGAGAAAGGATATTGTCCTCACGGTCATGCATTGGATCTTCTGTTAACGGGATTGTGCTCCTGCGGTAGGGTAAACAAAGCATTTGAGTGCTCGACACAAATGGTGGAGAGAGGGAGACGTATGAGTGAAGCTTCATTTCGGACATTGGAAAGCTTTCTGGCTCAGGAAGGTGAGATGGAGAAGCTGAGGAAGCTGAAGCAGATGATAAGGAAATTGCATATCCTGTTGCCCCCTGTAAAAGGGCATACGATCGCTGATCCTGCATAGACAGACACAAAATTGTAGGGACGTTCTTTGTTATAAATGGATGATCTCCATGCTTTTTGTAGTTTGTTTGTTGTTGTTGGTATCAATCCATGATTTACTAATCACGAAAACAATCACTTGGTTAAAAGAGCATATTTACTAATCACGAAAACAATCACTTGGTTAAAAGAGCATATATTGATGGCATGTTGTCCATCTAGTCTTCTAGAAGAATAGAAGTGCTTCTTGGCAGCCAAAAGCACTTTTGATTGCAATTTACAGAAAAATTAGAAGCAGTTCTGGCCCAAAATAGCGCTTCACAGAGAAGCACGTGCCGTAGGTTTCTTCATGAATCACTTGCGAGTGATTTTCTAATTTAGCTTGTTTATTGTTAAAGTGCTTCTAATAGAACCGATAATGAGCACAATTGCTTTATAGAGAGAATCTCAAAGGGGTAGTGGTTACACGATGCACTTGAGATCATGGGTTAAGTTTCTCTTCCGTGGATTTTATTACTAGAAATTTTTAGAAAGAAAATCATGAATAAGGAAATTTATTACCACCTTTTATAGATAAACTTATCCTTAACGAAAATCCTTAATAATCCAATAAAATCATGCATCGTATGTAACTTAGCTTACATAACAATATATGAGTAGTTGAAAATACTGCTTTAGTTATATTCCCGACTCATATAAGTTGTTTTCCGTGTTTGGATGTGGCTTGTTTGCAAATTCGCAATAGAAGTCGGTGTCAAACCATAGTATATATCCCTTTCGATGTTTTCATATCGTACGATATGAGGGGTACGGTTGACATTTCACATACTGTTACACCCTCCAATATATATGGGGGAAAAATAATGTTCTCCACCACTCAAAAACCCTAATCTTGTTATTCTCTCTGCGCTTCCAACTCTTAAAGTTCATACCTTTTTTGTTGATCAAATTTTCCCGAGAAAATCCGATATCGAGCGCAATGGGTTCGAAGTCGAATGCCGGCCATCCTCACTCAGGCGATGGCGCCAGCCCTGGGTACGTCTTCCTTCCCTCCCTCCTTCCCTCTCTCCCTCCCTCCGTCTCTCTCTCTCTCTCCCTTCCTCCCCATACACCCAATTTAGCTGTTTTCTGTTTGGTATTCGAGAAAATTGGATCTTTCTGAGAAAATAAAATTGAAGATTTTATGCATCTTTATATTTTCTAGCTGGAGTTTCTGTTGTTTCCTGTATTTTCTCGTTATTCAAACATTGGGGCATCGTTTGGGCGTTTCCTCACGTTTGCTAATTGTTTTTAATATTTTATCGGTAATTCGCAGAAAGATCTTCATCGGTGGATTGGCAAAAGACACTACAAATGGTGAGTTCTCTTTTCCAACGTAAAGATTTATAATTTATTTTATTTTATTTTTACCTTTTTGTTGTGTTCGCAAAGTTAATTAGCAAAGGTTATTCTTTTTCTTCCCTGTAAGAAGTAAATTTAAATTCAAGTTGTGGCATTGTGCGGCGAAATTATGTGGCATGAAATTAGTGAAGTTTATAGAATCCTTATGGTTAATTTTTGGGTTTATAATTGACTTTGGATGATTTTAGATTATTTTTCAGCTTGCTTGGTTAGTTGGCTTTGTATGGTTTTAGATTAAATGCAATTTATCGTTTTGTTTTGTTACTAATGTGTTGCGCTTTCTTTTATTTTGTTTGCTTGGGATCAATAGCAACATTTACCAAGCACTTTGGGAAATATGGAGAGATAGTGGACTCAGTGATAATGAAAGATCGCTTCACCGGTACCCCACGGGGATTTGGGTTTATTACCTATGCCGATCCATCAGTTGTTGATGCAGTTATTGAGGAAACTCATGTTATTAATGGAAAGCAGGTAAAGTAGATGTTTAAGACTGGATCTTTGTATGGTTTACTGTAAATTATGGTGCTCAGGAATTGATGCTATTACTTATTTATACTCTTTATTTTATATATGACATTAATTCTATGGATAATGCAGGTTGAGATCAAGCGAACCATTCCGAAAGGTCAAGGGCAATCAAAGGATTTTAAGACAAAGAAGATATTTGTTGGTGGCATTCCATCATCAGTCTCTGAGGGTATGCTTTTATGTTTTTATTCTGCTTTAGTGTGTTTACAACACGGAAGTTTGTCACTTTCCTATTAGTTTCACACTGAACTTTTGCTCGACATTTACTTAAGCTTGTTTGCATTACCATCTTCATCCCTTTTACTTGGTTGCTAAATTTGCGCAGATGAGTTGAAAAGTTTCTTCTCTGAGTATGGGAAAGTGGTTGAACACCAGATCATACGAGACCATGAGACCAATCGTTCTAGAGGCTTTGGGTTTGTTATTTTTGACAGTGAGGAAGTTGTAGATGAATTGTTATCTAAAGGAAACATGATTGATATGGAGGGTACCCAGGTGAGCTTGTTTAGAAGGTCTCTGTGTAAACAGCATGTATACAAAATCCTTTTTGACATGGAGCATCAATTTTTGCATTCTGCTGTTTTGTTAAATCTATGCATTAAAGGTTGTTATCTTTCGTTTCCGTTAGTTATTATAATAATTCAAGTTAGTTATTTGGAACTAATTTTAGGTGGAGTTTGTTACAGGTATAGATCTTCTCAGGAAAGGGTGATCACAGTAGCTCCATTTCTAAATAATCTAGGTTAACTAAGTTGCTTTGTTGTAGGTGGAGATCAAGAAAGCTGAACCAAAGAAAGCCTCAAATCCACCATCTGCTCCTGCATATGGTAGCAATTCTAGGGCTCGTTCTTTCAATGATGGCTTTGGTGGATATGGCAGTTCTTATGGTAGTTTTGATGGAGGGTTTGGCCCTGGACCCTATAGGACACCAGGTGGTCTTGGTGGTAGATATGGTGGTGGTTATGGCTACGGTTATGGTAGCGATAGTGGCGAATTTGGCAGTGGTTATGGGAATTTTGGCAGCAGTAGCTTAGGTGGCTATCGAGGTGAGACTTCCCTTGGTTATTCTAGCCGCTTTGGACCATATGGTGGTGGTTATGGTGGGGGCTATAATGCGAGTGGTTTAGGTGGTTATGGCCGAGGCAATGAAGGCTATGGAAGTTATGGAGGTTCAAACTATGGTGGTGGCTATGACTCTGGTCCTGGTGCTACTTATGGTGGAGGAGCAGGTGGACCATATGGAAGGGGGGGATATAGTAGCAGTAGTCGGTACCACCCCTACGGAAGGTAGAAATAGAAGGTGCTAGTGAGTACCATCCCTATGCAAGATAGTAATGAAGGATTTTCGATGCAGTTGCTTAAGCTTTGCCATAGAAGTTTCACACAGGTTGCTTAGATTCGTCTGGCACTCGGTTAGGCACTTTCTTGGAACTGTTAGAGACTCCCTATGGTGGCAGTTTGAGAAACTTTTATGGCGAGAAGAGTTTATTAGTCTATTTCTATATTGTATGGTTTAGAAAAACTATGCAGATTGAAACACCTGGTGTCTGCTGCAGACGTCGTGTAGTTTCATTATGATTTAGTATGTTGTAGACTATAGTATCGGATGATGGAGTTTATTACAATCTAATTAGTGATCTAGATAGATGCTCTAATGGTTTAATTTATCTGCTTAGCCTAGCCTGTGATGTTTACATTAGCATTTGGTCACTTAATAGTTATATTTTGATGCGTTAGTACTATTATTCGTGTTTCCTGTCCAGGGCTGTAGTTTTGTATGTGCTCCTTCGTTAGGGTTCTTCATTAGGGTTCTCTTCGTGTGCATTCGCATACGGCCTTGTGTTGAGATTCAGGTGAATATTTTTTAACTTGCCTTTGTAAGATGGTACTCTTTCATCTGTGATTCTACTTTCCAAATCATTAAGAAATTATACGAGATGCAAGTTTCAAGTGTGATTTTCCAGTTTGGCAAACGCGGTTGATTGCTTCCGGTAGAGGGAAAATTTGACCTTATCAGTTTGCCCAAGTTCTGTTTTCAAATTTCTTTCTTTGTATTTAAGATTGCTGTGTAGTTTTGGTTGAACAATGTGATGCATTTAACTTACTAATTGCTTATACAATTATATTTACCCCCGATTTCTTCCAAGTTTTTCGAACTTTGGGAGCAAAACTTCCTTCTTCCAAATGGTCGGGCACTCTTTTTTTCCCTTTTTTCTGTTGATGCAACTGCCCTTGTTATCGTTCTCTTCGCCAGCCGAAACCCGCCATAGTCCAAATTTCATGCCCAAGTTTGAGTCAAGCACCTGCTGCGCTAGCATGGTTATTTAAACATTGATGCTAATTACCATCAAATAAATAGGAAGACAATGATGGAACTGTGGGCAGTGAGCAAGGATGGAACTAGCCACATGGTTATGGTTAGGTTCGGCCTCCAACTGTTTACGAATGATTCTAGAAGTGATTTTTGCACGTTTTTAAAAAAGAAAAAAACGATTTTCACACTTTTATTTGACCTTTTGGCTTCCCTTTTAAACAAGGTAGTCATTAAATAAAAAATTAGACAAATTCAAAATTATTGAGACTAGTAAGAAAATTGACGAACACAATTCAACAAAGAAATTCAAAACTCTTCAACGATTGTATGATTTTAGATTTGATGATTGTTGGCAAACATGATTTTTGAGAGAATATTTAAACTTTACAAAAACGTGTGTAAAAATTATGTAAAAAAATAATGTCTTGGATCCATTCATTGATTTATGTGGGGAAAAAAAATTGAGAAAAAAAAAAAAACCAAGTTTGGTTAAAAAAATAAAATAAAAGGAAAAGGATTCGGCGCGAATCCTTTTTCTGGAAATTCTAGAGATTTCGTAATCGTGATTGTTTATTGTACATCGTGCGGTCAAAAATTATTTTAAAATTTAAAATTTAAAATAAATAATATTTAATAAAAATTGTTCGCATAATGTACAATCAACGATCACGATGATTGATTCCTAAGATCTCCGGGAAAAAGACTAGAAATATTCGCATAATAACGATCAGATCCCCAAACTTACAAAAACACTGAAATTTTGGACTCTCTCTCTCTCTCTCTACTTTGCCTTCTCAGTCTCTCTCTCTCTCTCTCTCTCTCTCTCTCTCCTCTGTTGCCGGCGATTCAGCAAGTGAAGTCCAACTCAGTGAGTGATGGGTGGCCAGTTACGTTACGAGATCGCACAAAATGCCTACGTAAAGCTAGTGCTACACGCTCTCAAGCACAAGACCTCCGCCGTCAACGGCATCCTCCTCGGTCGCGTCTCCCCCCACAACGACATCGTGGAGATCACCGATTCCGTCCCTCTCTTCCACTCCCACATCGGCCTCCTCCCCCAGCTCGAGATCTCCCTCATCCTGGTGGGTCCCAAAATCCTCTCTTTTTCTCACACCACTTTGTTCCTCTAGGGTTTCAGACACTCGAATTGGGATTTTCCCGGGAAACAAACGGTGCCCTAACTCTGTAATTTGATTAATTTTTGGTTGTTGTGATTGAATTGGGACAGATAGAGGAGCACTTTGCTGCTAAAGGAGTGAGCATAGTGGGGTATTTCCATGCTAACGAGAGGTTTGACGATCACGAGCTCGGCGGCATTGCCAAGAATGTCGGCGATCACATTTATCGCTACCTTCCTCAAGCCGCAATTCTTTTGGTATGCAATTTTCAGTCCATGAAGTCCTGTTTGTGTTGTATGTTTGCTTTTTTGGTATTGGGTTTTAACATTCATGTCTTTTCATCCATTTCTAGCTTGATAACAGGAAGCTTGAAGCTTTGCCGAAGACTAAGGACCGGAGCCCCGTAGTGCAGGTGTGTTTCTTTAACTTTATCTGTTTGGGGGCGATGCATATTTATTTATGAAAAGCATTGATCTTTTTCTTTGTCTGTTTATATGATAATGGGTGCATGAGTGTATGAGTGTATTTGATTGTATGAACCGCTTGTCGGTCTTAGCTAAAAAAATGTGAGAAATGAGAAATTTGTGTGAGGTATGCGTTTTTGTTTTCCTAGCGTAATAATTGGACATTATGTTTCAAAGTTGTTGGTGTCGATTGTTGTTGATAAACTTGGGAAGTTAACCATGAGCTTGAAGAACTAAATAATTTGGTATGTATGTACACGAAGTTTTTGAGATGTCTTTTCTAACATTTAGAAGACTATATTTTGATGCCAATCTGTGCATCTCACAGTTTTTTTTTTTAGTCATTTTACTGAAATAGAAATGAACTAGATAAAGGCATACTCCATGAGCAAAAGTTTCTTGAGAAGCGGAACATCCACAATGGGATTGCAGGTCAGCCCTAATTCCTAACCCAAATGTAAGGTGAATGAGATTACCTTTTGGACCTTCCTTTCAAACCAACTCTAAGCTACAAAAGCTTGGAGTGTAATGTGCTTTAGGCTAAGTTAATAAAGTTTTTATTTTTGGGGCTGACGGAGTTGTTTCCTTCTTTTGGCGGCCCAGACAGAAGCTAACATATTTTTAATAGTCTCATACACTGTCATATTTTTCATCCTCACCCACCCTTCATAACATTTAGTTTTCTTGTATTATTTTAGGATTATCATTTAGCGAACCCGCATTTTTCTAAATTATAAGCTATTGCTGAATTTGGGGATACTAGATTTCACCTACTTCCTGCAGATAACCACAGACACCATCTTTTCCCATTCCTAATCTATGTTCTAGAGTATCTGTGTGACCCTCACATTTTTCATTGTTTTCTTCATTAGATCAATTTTTAATCAAATTGGTGTTTACTACATCTTGAAGAGCTCCTTCAGAGCATCTCTTAGAACTCTTTACCTTATCACTATTGCAGAGCTCCACACTGTTTGAACTATGCCCTGACATGGCTTCCCTTTAATATCTTTTGGCTTTGATATATTCAATTGTTTGGAAAGCTAGCATGGTGAGGATTTGCAATAGAGTTTTGAAGGAATTGGCAATAGTCCTTATTCAGGAAACAACAAAAATGAGATATTATTATCTTTTTGGAAATACCGAGGACTTAGATGGACAGTCTTTGTTAAATCTTCCGGAGGTTATTTGTCTTGAATTGATTCTATGTTGAAACCATCTTTGCTTCTTTAGTGACCTCATCTTCTTTTATATTAACTTCGTTTTATGTTAATCCAGTTTTGTATTACCTGATTGTTAGTTGGATCTGATTCTAAGTGATTTCATCTTCGTCGACACTAACTTCGTCTTCCTCCTATTTAATCTTTGTTTTTCTACCTTTTGAAAAATCAGCTCTACACGAAGGATGCATCCAGGACTTGGAAGTTAGTTGGATCGGATGGAAACCAGTTGACCATCAAGGAGCCATCAGCAAATGTTGTTCTATTGGATTACATCTCTACTGAAAAATGGCAGGATGTTGTAGATTTCGATGATCACCTCGATGACATTAGCAAGTGAGTGCAATACACCTTAATTTTTGTTATCTTATTTTCAACTAATATTCGTATTGATAGGGTAAACTGATGTTGATTCGAAATGTAAATGACAGGGACTGGCTGAACCCAGAACTATTCAAGTAAATCGGCCATCCCTGTCGTTATTGCAAATGGCTCCATGCTTAACTCAGTTTCTCGTGCTGGGTTTAGAGGACAAGGGGGCATACATTGACGTCAAGCTCATCACTTTCTTTTTTGTAAGGAATTTTCAGAGATGTAAAAAACTGGATATCAATTATCTTCTCATACTTTTACGTTCGACGCCATAGGGTTTCAGCATCTTCTTTTGTGGACCACTTCAAATGAGGTTTATGGTTTGGTTGTAGAATTGGAACAAAAATGTCAATTCAGTTTTGCACCTCAAGTTATCTTTCCTTTGCATCAAATTTTCTTGTTAACTGGTTTTACAATGTTATGTTGTTAGACATTGGGTTAACGTTGTCGACGCAATCATATTTACGTGGAGATTGTAGCTTAAGTGATTAAAAACATTGACTGGAAGTCTTTGGTTCGCACTGTTGGTATAAAACAGGTGTATATGATTTCGTCCTACTTCCTTCGTTCCCTGTGTCCATTCTTTATTAAAAGATGAAATGTCGATATAGAGTAGTTGACTTGTTTATAGCACTAGTAGATAATATGTGGACGGGAATCTGCTCTTTGCTAAAGTACAAGCTACTGATTTTACGCAGACGAACTGTTGGTAACATTGGTAAATAAGCGTTGGTAGCAAACGGATGGATGAAACGTTTTATCAAATGCATTATTTTACTTGAAATGCTTCAAAAGTTTTAAAATAACTAAAAGTGAAAGTGTTTATTTTCAGCGAAAGTGTTTATAGCCGAAGCTCTAGAAACTGCACACTTATCTAAGTGCGCCCAAAAATATATTTTGCACATTAAGTTCCCATTTTACCCTCACTCGTGTATAAAACCCAAAGGCCGACGCTTCAGAAGAGAAGAAAAAACTGAAACTCAACTACCTTTTGAAAAGTCTCGATGCTTTCAACGGTCACTTGCCTCCATCTTCATCCTCTGAACCACATCACAGACTCTCACACTCCCCAAAGCTTACAGCAACCCACCTCCTCCACAGCTTCGCCTCCCCATCCGAGCTCAAACAACTCCACGCCCACCTCATCATAACGAACTCTTCCCTCACCTCCCTCCCTCCCTCTCGAATCGCCTTGGTCTGCTCACTCAACCCCAGCTTCTCCTACGCCCGGAAACTCTTCCACCACCTTGATACCTCCGAGACCGAAGCCTGGAACTCGTGCCTGAAAGCCTTTGCCGAAGGCAAAGACTCCATTGAGGCAGTTCTGCTTTTTAACCAGCTGCAGAGCTTTCGTGTTTCACCGGATAGTTTTACGCTGTCTTTCGTTCTGGAGGCATGCACACGTTTGTCGGATGTTTCCATTGGAAGGGTGATTCATGGGTATGTGGAGAAACTTGGGTTTCAGTCGAATTTATTTTTGATGAATATGATTCTGAATTTGTATACATTGTCTGGTGGAGAGATGTGTCCAGGAATACATTGATGTCACAGTTGGTAAAGAGGGATGATATTAAGGGAGCGTATGACGTCTTTTTGCGGATGCCTGGTAGAAGTGTGAGGTCATGGACGTTGATGATTTCAGGGTCTGTTCAATGCGGGAAGCCTAAGGAGGCGATTGGTTTGTTTTCGGAGATGGAAGAGGCTGGCGTGAGGCCAAATGAGGTGATGGTAGTGGCTGTTCTTGTGGCGTGTGCTGGCTGGGGGGACTTGGGTTTGGGTAGGAGAATTCATGAGTTCTCGAACCAAAGTGGGTTTAGCAAAAATGTTCGGGTTTCCAACACTTTGATTGAAATGTATGTCAAATGTGGATGCTTGGAGGATGCCTGCAAAGTTTTCGATGTGATGAAGGAGCGAACGGTTGTGTCATGATCAGCTATGATCGCAGGGTTTGCCATGCATGGGCAAGCTGAGGAAGCTCTTAAGACTTTTCTCTAAAATGATTCAGAAAGGCATGGATCTGAATGATGTATCCTTTGTTGGAGTGTTGCATGCTTGTAGTCACATTGGGTTTGTGGATCAGGTCGTGATTTCTTCACCAGCATGACTAACGATTATGGTATAGTTCCTAGAATTGAGCATTACGGTTGCATGGTTGATCTTTTAAGTAGGGCAGGGCTCCTTCAAGAGGCTCGCGATCGAGTTTATCACAAACATGCCTATCAAGCCCAATAGTGTCGTATGGGGACCTCTCCTTGGCGGATGCAAAGTTCACAAAAACATTGAACTGGCTGAAGAAGCAACAAAGCACCTTTCGGAATTGGATCCACTTAATGATGGCTACTATGTGGTTCTGTCAAACATTTATGCAGAAGCACAACGGTGGGAAGACACAGCGACGGTGAGAAAGATAATGAGGGATCGAGGGGTGAGAGGACGCCGGGGTGGAGTTCAATTACAGTGGATGGAGTGATTCATGAGTTTGTAGCCGGGGATGAAACCCGTCCTCAAGCTCAAGAGATCGTCCAAATGTGGGAGAAACTACTTGAGAAAATGAAGCTATGTGCCTAACACCTCAGTTGTTCTGCTAGACATGGAAGAGGATCGGAAGGAAAAATTTCTCTATCGTCATAGAGGGAAATTAGTGCTGGTTTTCGGGTTGATCAACACATAACCTGGAACACCAATTCGAATTATGAAGAATCTTCGTGTTTGTGAGGACTGTCATGCTGCTTTCAAACTTATATCAGCAATTGTTAGCACAGAGATCGTTGTGTGTGACCGTAACCGGTTCCATTGTTTCAAAGATGGTTTTTGTTCCTGCCGGGATTACTGGTAAGACGATCTACACTCCTAATTAAGAACATTATAGAGTTCAACTAACATCATTTTCAATGACAATACATTTTTCAGTTTTAAAGATTACTTTGCATCTCTGGCTCCAAATTATGAAAAATAAACAAACTATTTAATTGCACAAGAATAAAACTTGTCCGTAAAGTAATTCAAACTAATTCACTAAGCCGCTACATCTTTCTGAACTGCCATGATGGTGAACAACATCATCATCATCATTATCATAAAAAACTAGAAGACTGGGCTATGATTTGCAAACATTCTAGGATGATTTTGAAGCATATCTTAGAGAACTGGACACCCCTTAGTCTTTATCCCTGGTGCAGTAGGACACTTGGCCAACGGACAATGGTCGTCTTGGTCCAGACCCCACCACTTTGGACCCATAATTTCCTTGGATTGGAGGGTGACATATAGGGTAACTGCTGTAAAGGCCACACCGGCATCCAAAGCAGCAGATAGGATATAGTTATGCCTAGCCCACCACCCCTTGTGCTTTCTGTAAACATACAAGTTGAAGACGAGTGCAACTGAAAACCATGACAAATAGTTTATGGCTTTCGCTGGTGGCATGACACCCGTTGATCCAAGGATTATAGGCATGTTTATGTGCCGAATCCACTTCTTATTGGGGAATTTTTTGTGGAGTAGCCAACCGGGAATAGGTGACAGAAAGCCGAGGAGGAAGAACCAGTTCAACTCTGGGTAGTTTCCTTTCTTAGTAAACATTCTGAGTGGGCCTATGACTCCCCATATGATTGAAGCATTGTAGAACACATCATCACCCGGGCATGTCCACGGACTTCCCGCTGGCAAGTTTGCTGGATCACAGATGTTCTTCACAGTAGTGAGAAGCCACCACGATGTACCAAAGAAGGCACTTGTAGCCGTCACTGTTCCGGCTAACTGAACATACAAAAATGGACAATTGCATGTAACTATGTGTTTCTGTTTCATTATATCATATGAAAAACGAAACAAACATTACTAATACTATTATTACTACTAGGACCATCGCACTCATTCTGTCGATGGTTACCTGCACTATAAACATGGACTTAGGGGGGATCTTCATATAGTGGCCTAATTTGAAGTCACCAAGAAACATGAGTGCCTGTGACATGCTGATATATCCATAGGTCTTGAAAGCCACATTAGCCAGAGGCCTCCCGGGATAAATGTACCCGATAATTAACTCTGTAATTATGTTGAGCCCTGGTTGCTGCACAGTAAATATTGAAATGAGCATAAACGGTATGAGTCGTCCTTGGAACACGCTTCGACTTTATTAAACCCGGGTATAGGTAAGATATTTGCAGGCATGTTCATGTATCTACGTATTCAATGTAATACACAAATGCTGTATCTAGGGTTGGCCATACCATGTTTGTTGTAGCGGCAATAACTCCGATGGGTAGGGTGAAAGCTAGTGCAATGGTACAGGCGAGTAAAACTCCCCACCATGGAAGTTGGAGCTGTTTGCCGAAACCTTCACAGGTAAAGATGGCAAGACCAACCATGAAAACAAGGATTATCTGGAACCACCATTCTGGGACTGGTTCATAGTTCCTCTTCATAAGTCTTGTGTGGACGTCGCCGAGCTGATTTTTCACTGCACCGGTCGTCTTTCTCCACAGATGCCAGATTTCTCTGTTTTTCATGATCCATGTCCCATAAAAGAAGATAACAAGGAAAAAGTTATTAGTTCTTAAGAAATATTACCGAGTTCGTGTATAGGAGATTACGAGCGATAGGTTAGGTTTCAATTTCTTCGTCTGAGTTAAGGTAATGTTAGGGCGATCACATTTCTTTACCGCATTATATCATGCGAGTTATGCTAGTAACTATCCCAACTTTTAACGTTGAAAAAGAGAAAAACTTACTTTCCATGGTAGAGTCCAACATGTGAAATAGTCGATGTAAGAGTGGCAAATCCCCAGCCATAGGTGAGGGCAAAGAAGGTACTGAGGTGGAGTTTACTGTAACTGTTATACCGGGGCAAATCGATATCGAAAGTTTTCTTATTGAGAATTCTCGAAACGTTGTACTTTTGGCCATCAACATCAAATGTGTGGGAGGAAAAGATTGGGAATTTCTTTGCATCATAGGTATTGGTCCAATACGTAATAGGCAAAATGATGTAAAAAATCAGAACAAAGCCAATTAGCATGTTGATCACAGCAACATCTGGGTAGGCTAGAGGGCTGCCCAGGAAGGCGGCGATGGTGGACCAGTCGAGGGCAAACGAGCCAATTCCGAGGCCCTTGAGGCCGGAACCAATCTGTTGCGCAGTGATGGAGTCCTTCCAAATCCAACAGACGAAGGAGAGAGCTGTTAGGGAAGGGAAGAATAAGCTTGGGACAATGTAGTACGCAAAGCTGCATACGAAAACAATGATGAAGAATTGCATCCTGGTTCTGCCTCCTTTGGGTCTCTTTTCCCTTTCATGCAATGCCCTGCCATTAATTCACATTTTATGATTTAGTTAATTCAAGGAGCGGGAATCAAACACAGAACTTTGAAAACAGGTCTGGATACTCTTAACTGCTTGAGTTACGATCGTCTCTTTTGATAAAATCGATCATATATGTACCTGAATAGAGAGACTTGAACAAGATTTGAAGGCCACCACATGTAGGGTGAGTCAACAAGAAATTTTCTGAATAATCCAGCCCATCCATATCCAAGCATCTGAAAAAAATATTCATAAAAGTAATGCTTGATGTGGTTTAAACTGGCATATTTGACCATAGAATTTGACCCAACGGTTTAAACAGAATGACTAAGTCCGTTGAATCAAACCCAACAGTCAAATATGTGTTGACGTTAAATGCCTATGGGTATTTAAGAAAAATTGTGATGCGATGCCCATTTTAGAGAAAACCCTAGGCAAGGATCTTACTTCCCCTGCCACGTGTTAGTTTGAGTGACATTCGTGTTTTCCAATCAAAACATAGCTTGTGTTATAAGTTTTTCTCAATGATTCAAATTCTGTAACACATATTATCTTTTAACTAAGGTGTACGGGCCGCTCCACATACCAAAAGTCTGGTCTTAAGGTTTTCTTCGAGCGGGTCCCGCCTATACTAACTTTTATTCAAAGTGTGGTATGAAAATGGGGTACAAAAACTTGCCTGAGTGGTTTGAGATAACAAGAAGGCTGCCATGATGTGAATATCTCGGTGGTAGTAAGCCTTTACAATTGTGATAATGTTAACTGCATAAACACTGTTTGATCCAGAGTTTGCAAATATAGTGATCAAAACATGTTCTTTCATACTGAAAGGCCCCGGATTCAAAGAAAACGACCATTTTGTAAATGGGACTTGGAACTCCGTCGCAGGAAGGACCGCCGCCATCAGCTTTCCTAGGGGGAGGACTACGATTTGGGCCGAGACTGAAGAAACGTATAGATGATTTTGCCGGTACCCGAAAAATTGGTTCACGAAAGCAAGAATAACGCATGATAGTAGGCCGAGAACCCATGTCCGGAACGTCATGGTCGGCTCCGATGGGTCGTCTGTGGTTGGAACCGTTAGCCTAACTTGCTCAATTGGGCAGTCATTCACTTCTTCATCTGTTTGCATGTGCGACATGTATACAAAAATGACTCATTAAACGCAACAAAAACATAAAAGAAAAAAAAAAAAAAGGAATGTGTGCATGCATCAAAGTGCGGTATGACTGTAAGAAAAAGAAATGGATCGATTTTTTCTTTTTTTTTTTGTTGTTTGGGGGGGGGGGGGGGTCTTACCGACGGTGACGTCGATGTTGAAGTGAGACTTCCCACCAGGGATGTCATCGTCGTACTTCACCGTCATCGGTCCTTCTTTGCCTCCTTCACTGTCTTTGTTTCTCCTTCAAGCAAATAACAAAGCCTCTCACACCTGTTTTATGTATGCTAGTTTCTCCGGTGCACACTTAGGTTGAATTCATGGTTCTTTCATTTTCCAAGAATCAAATTATTTGAAGTACATTTATTGATCATCTTGTTGATGAGCTTTTATAGAGTTAGAGAATCACTTAGTGCAATTGGTGTCACTTCTTCTATTCGAGATCTGACCAGCGGAGATAGTGGTGAGAAAAAATTGTGGTCCAAATAGCAACGCTCTTTAAAAAAAAACCGTTTTTTAGGCCTAAAATCTGGTTCAGCCTAAACTCTCAATTTGTAATGAAGGTATTGGTCAAAGACACAAAAATCTAAATTTGGAAAACAAATGTAACGTTGAAAAATTCTTATATGCATCAGACCGGAAAAGTCTTGACATAATGTAAACTTGGCATTAATAACATCATCATGTATATTTCTTAAGTACTATGCATAATAAAATGTCCCATGTATTGATCTGGAGAGAGGGAAACCAAACACTAACCTTGAGTTTGGTTGTGAATACTACTGACCATTTGAGTTGCTAGCTCATTATTTGGTTGGTTCGTATTTAATAATGTTATGTTGTCACACTATCTAGTACTTGTTACGTGCCGCTTATTCAGAATTAAATATACATTCACTAGTTTCAAATTATGAAAACTAAAACCAAATTTGTTCAATTAACTATACAGATTCATATCTTTCTTCGCCAATCTGCCAGAACTGGCCTACATATGGTTTTGCAATATTACATTGTCACACATTTAGGGTTTAGGGTTTGATTTCCGAATCATATCTTAGCGAACCGGACAGTCTTTGGCAACTACACTTGACGCCGTGGGGCACGTTGCCAGCGGACAATGGTCATCCGCTTTGAGACCCCACCAACTGGGCCCCGTTATATCCTTGGATTGAAGGGTGAAATACAGAAGAACAGCAGTGAATGCCACACCAGCATCCAAAGCAGCAGATAGAATGTAGTTATGTCTAGCCCACCACCCCTTGTACTTTCGGTACACGTAGAAGTTGAAGAAAATCCCAACTGAAATCCATGTCAAATAGTTCACAGCCCTAGCAGGCGGCATGTTTCCCGTTGCCCCCAGAATGATCGGCATGTTTATGAGCTTAATCCACTTCTGGTTGGGGAACTTTTTGGAGAGGAACCAAATCGGAACGGGGGCAAGCAAGCCAATGAGGAAGAACCAGTTCATTTCCGGGTAGACACCTTTGCTGCCGAACATCCTGAGTGGGCCTATGACCCCCCATATGATCGAAGCATTGTAGAACACATCGTCACCAGGGCATGTCCACGGACTTCCCTCTGGCAGCTTCGATGGATCGCAGATGTACTCGATGCTTGTGAGAAGCCACCACGATGTGCCAAAGTAGACACTTGAAGCTACTAGCGTTCCAACTAACTGAAGAAGCAGATAAGGGGGAAAATAGGTACAAGTAATTATGTCACAAATATGAACAATTAGAGCCCGTTTGAGAGCTGAAAACTGAAATGGTTATCAAACCAACTGTTAGTTAATGCGATAAACGTAATTAAATTACCTGCACAACAAACATGGACTTAGGAGGGATCTTCATATAGTGGCCTAATTTGAAGTCACTAAGAAACATGAGTGCCTGTGACATGCTGATATATCCATAGGTCTTGAAAGCCACATTAGCAAGAGGCCTCCCGGGATAAATGTACCCGATAATTAGCTCTGTGATCACATTAAGCCCCGGTTGCTGCAGAACAAACATAATCAAATGAGAAATCAGAACTTAATATGACACGCTTCAAAGAAAATGTGCAACAAAGGTATGTGGTGCACTCTGATTATATCGTTCATAATTAACATTTTCTTCTTCTGTTTGATGCATACAAATGATTTGTCCGTGTGTTATGGACGTACCTGGTTTGTTGTGGCTTGAATAATGCCGATAGGTAAGGTGAAAAATAGGGCAATGCCGCAACCCATTAAAACTCCCCACCATGGAAGTTGGAGCTGTTTTCCGAAACCTTCACAAGTAAAGACAGCAAGAGCAACCATAGAAACAAGGATGATTTGAAACCACCATTGAGGCACTGAATCATAGTTCTTCTTCATCAGTCGGGTATGGATGTCACCGATTTGATCTTTCACTGCACTAGTTGTCTTTTTCCACATCTTCCAAATCGTTCTGTTCATGTATACATGTCACATGAAAAAAAAAATGTTCAAGTTTAGATGCAAAGAAATATTTGTTCAGTTGAGTTTAAAACTAGTGTCGAAATCTACTTAATTACCTTCCGTGGAAGAGAGCAACGTGCGAAATAGTAGCCGTCAGAGTGGCAAAGCTCAGCCCATAAGTGAAGGCAAAGAAGGTGCTGAGATAGAGTTTACTGTAACCGTTATACCCTACCATGTTAATATCGAAATTTTTCTGATCTAGAACTCTGGAAATGTTATAGAGCTGGCCACTGGAATCGTAAGTGTGTGACGTAAAGATTGGAAATTTTTGAGCTTCGTATGCGTTGTTCCAGTAGGCAATGGGGGTGACAACGTAAACAATCAATACAAAACCAATTAAGATGTTAATGATCGCAAATCCAGGAGTGGCTAAAGGGCTGCCTAAGAAACCGGCAACAGTAGACCAATCAAAGCCGAATGAGCCAATGCCAAGCCCATGCATGCCGGAACCAATCTGTTGAGCGGTGATGGAGTCCTTCCATATCCAGCAAACAAAGGAGAAAGCGGAAATGGAGGGGAAAAGAAAACTCGGAACAATGTAGTAAGCAAAGCTGCAGATGAAAACCATGAAGAAGAACTGCAGCCTAGTCCGGCCTCCCTTCGGCCTCTTCTCCTTTTCGTGCAATGCCCTGCCATTCAAATCATTAAATTCTTCCATTATTTACAGAAAATTGAAGAAATGCTATTCGGTTTCAAGTGAAAAAAAAAAATCAATAAAAATACCTGAAAAGAGAGACTTGAACAAGATTTGAAGGCCACCACATGTAAGGAGAGTCAACAAGGTATTTTCTGAAAATGCCAGCCCATCCATACCCAAGCATCTGAAGGTTTTCACATTCTGAACACATGAATTTCACAACACGAAAACTTGCACATTTATCAAACAACAGTAGTCACAACCTAGGTTCAAAAAGAAGTTAGGCACCAGTTGGGCGTTGGACTAGGGACTAAGCGCTTATAGACGGAATTAAGTAAATTTATTATGGGAATTTTTATTTGAACCCATCTAACCTCTTTTTACACTCAACTTACTCTATTCACCCATATTGTTTTTTTTATGGGGCTTTTAGATCTAGGTCCAAAAACATAGATGGTTTTTAGGAGAGAGTCCAATTATCTAATTACATGTTTTTATTTCTTTTATACTCATTTTATATTTTTTTTAAATATTAAAAATCAATTAAAAATCTTCTAATATTATGCATTTTTCAACTCCAAAAAATCTAATTAATATCTTACAACAACAAAAACTAATATGCTAACATAAATTATCTACAAAACATTCTACCTTAACTCAAGTAACAAATATATGAATATATATTATACCTGTAAATGAGATATGAAACCTAACTAAAAGATAGGAAAAAACATAATATACCTACAAGCAAGACACATTAATTTGTGACATGTTGATTATAAAAAAAGAATTTGTCATATAGATACATAAAAATAATTAACCTGTGATATAGGTTGATTATAAAAATTAAAAATAAAATCTATAAATGGGGTTTAAAGCAAGAGGAAGAACAAGAAATAATAAAAAATAAAAATAAAAGGAAATAATCAAAGAGATAATTAGGAAGAAATTTGATTTTTATAATAAATCTTATCATTGAATAGATAATTATTGATAATAAAATAATTAAATTTAAGGAATTGGACTTATTTTAAAAAATTGGACTATTCCTACTATTGACTAAAAAAATTGGACTTATATCAAGTTTCCCCTTTTTTTTTATTGAATAATTAATATCTCTTTAAACCCAAATTTATTACCTAAACTACCCTCTCAAACCCAATTCAAAATGTAAAAGTATATTTACACTCATTCCCTTTATAAAATAACATCTCTAATTAAATGTTTTTCTTTTTAAAAGAGACGTCATTTGCCCCTCTATAATTGCATATGCCGTATAGGATTAGCATTTCCATGGCTGCTTTTTTTCTTTTTGCTACCACAACCCATCCATGGACTTGGGATCCAAGAGATCATTCCATAGACTTGAATTTGCCAAGAGAATGTTATGCAAGCTCCTGTTCAGTCATTTTTAAATCGAGCCTTTTTATGTTCTTTTTAAGAAACTTTGAAGTGACATAGGATTGAGTGTTTTGCTGCTATGTTAATAAACAAATAAACAAATTGGAGCTACTTCGAATAAAAAGGGTGCAAGACATGCCACCCACTAGTTCGTGGTTAAGGTTGAGCAATCTTTATTTGCACCAAGAATCAAGTTTTATGTCTTTGCAATACTAATCAAAAGTCCTTGCACTCGTGTTTTGGGGCGCATACAGACAGCAGAGAAAAACAAATACAATATAATATAAAAAAGTATGAAATTTTTAATCCAAAGAAGAAGCAAACAAACAAAATATCCATAAATTGAGTCATAACTTAGTTGGAGAATTAAAAACTTCAAAATCACCATCCATCAATAGAAAAACTTGTTTTTCTCTATCAGAGTTGTTAGGGTTTTAGTCTATTTAAACGTAGGATAAACAAAAGGTGATGATAGGGTTTAATTATAGTATGTGGGTCTATTGATAAATTTGATTTTTATTATTAATTTCATTTTGTACTGAATAGTAATTATGCAATAGGGTAAAATAAACAATTAACATTTAAAATTTAAGTTGGGCGTAGAAAAATGTTAGATGGGGTTAAATAAAATTTCTCATTTATTATATATCGTATAAATATGTGGCAGCTTATACTTAAAAAATATATAATTACATTGAGATACATAAATTGCATAATAGAATAACATATAGATTATAAAGTATTATAACATAATGCAAAATAGAAGTTATCCATATTCTGTCTAAGTGAGAGTTACGACCTAAGAGAGTCTGGGCGAGCTAGGCGGGAGCCTAAGTAGGCCTAAGCGCCCTTTCTTAATTTTCAAACGCTTAGGGATTAATCATATGATGATCAGCCGCCGGCCGCCTAGCGCCTAAGCGGGATCTAGGCGAGATTTTTAGAACAATGGTCACAACTCACAAATTAGCAATTGGTGTCTAAATTTACCTGAGTCGTTTGTGCTAACAAGAAGGCAGCTGCAGGATGCAATTTTCTGTTGTAGAAAGCCATGACAATCGTGATGATGCCAACAGCGTAAACGCTGTTCGATCCAGAGTTGGCGAAGATGGTGATCAGCACATGTTCTTTCAAGTTGAAAGGCCCCGGATTCAGCGAAAAAGACCAATTTGTAAACGGGAACCGGATTGGTTTCTGCGGAAGGGTAGCAGCCATCAGCTTCCCCACAGGCAGGACAAGAATTTGCGCAGAGACTGAAGAAACGTAGAGTTGATTCTGGCGGTACCCAAAAAACTGGTTGACAAAAGCAAGAACAGAGCATGAAATGATCCCAAGAACCCATGTTCGAAACGTCAATGTCGGCTGTGAAGGGTCATCGGTTATTGGAACTGTTAGCCTCACTTGCTCTATTGGGTTGTCATTCACTTCATCATCTGATGCATCAACAAAAAATTGGCCACATTGCAAATTAAAATTTGCAAGAACCGCTTGTTCTTAGAAGATTTGCTAAAAATAAATAAATCCTATTTCTTTAAACTTATGAAACATTTCAAAAAAGTGAAGAATACGTCAAAACTTGGAAAGTTCATAATTCTATCAAATCTTGATCCAGCTTTGACATTACCAGTTCTGCATAAACATGTTGAGATAATAAAACAGAGAGATTCGAAAGGTAGAATCTTTTGTTTTAGACTGATTAAAATTTCATGGCTCTCAATCCTCTCTCTTTGACATCTGTTCAAGAACAAATCTTTGGCAATTGTATATAGATTTTTTACATATAAAATGCATATTTATACATCAAAACATGAAAAAAATACACAACTCCATGAAATCTTTTTTAATCTTTGCCATTTTCCAGTTTTGCATAAACATATTGAGATTAATAAAACAGAGAGAGATTAATTACTACTGGCTTAGAGGGACTTACCAATTACATCAACATTTGATTGCTGCCTTGCTTCACGAGGAACTCCATCCTCTACATAACTACCCATCTCTCTCTGTCTCCTATCTCTCTCTCTCTCTCTCTCTCTCTCTCTCTCTCCTTGCAAACCCCTCAATGGCTGCAAACCCACATAACCAATTTTATAGAGATGCAAACCTTCTTCTTTGTTTAGTCAAATTTTGCGGTTCACAAGCTTGAAATGGGGTGCCTAGAAATAAAGCAATGCCGGTAGTTTCTTTTTCACGAAACCAGTTTTTTACTTTTCTTTTGTCCTCAGCTCTCTGGTGTGTGATGCAGTAGTAATACTACTAGCTTAGCTAAGGGACAAATACACAACCTCCCCTTCTTTTTGGGTTTATGTAATTTGATGATGGTTATTGTGTACTATAGCATGAGTATTTGACTTGTAAAATGGAGCTGCATACTGTGGATTTTTTTAAGGATTCTAAAATATGTTCTTGGGTAAGCAGGAATCTTGGACAAATCTTCATATGCACTGTGCAGGAGATGAGGGGACGAGAAAATGAAGAAAAGGACAACTTGTCTTTACCCCCAAAGATTAATACAAACTACTTATAACCCAAAAGAGAAGAAATTTTCAGTGTAAGTGATATTAGTTCAGTTATAATAAATTTATTTATTTATTAATGTTATATATATATATTTATATATTTATCTTATACTTTTGTGAAATATTAAAGTTATTGTCCACTTATTTTATGTTACGTAAATTGGTAATATAATGTTAGAAGAAATCTCGAGGTCGATCCTCCTTTTGCTCTCAAGAAAAACTTTCAATACAAACATTTGAACCATGCCTCACCCGACTACCTGCACAAACAAAAAATACGTCACACCCCTGTATCAGGTATCACCACCCAGTGACTTATGGTCTTGAACCTTTGTTCGTAATGCGACAATCTCACTGAATACTAGTCTCATGTTATAGTGTAACTGTCACGCTAAAAAATTTGTTCTTCATAAAGAGTTGAAAATAAATGAATTTTAGGATGTTGGATCTGTCTACAATGAAAACTACTGATTTCGTCAAAAAATAATTCATGTGGAAGATAAGATAGTATGTGGACAGCGGAGGAGGCTTGTGTGCTGACAGTGAGTGGTAGATATGGACTCCAATCTTGGGGGATGACAGCTAAGTGTAATAAAAAAGGAAAAATTAAAATCAGAGGTGGTTGGAAAATTGAAATTATTATGGGACTAATTGAGAGCTGCTATAACTTCCAACTCAAGTGATGTAAGTCAATAGTTTGGAAGATGGCAAATAATAATGTTTTAAAAGGTTAGCCCGTGATTTAGTCGTAACAGTTTACTTTTTTTAGGGTAATGAAGACTCATAAAGTCATTTGAACCTTCTCTGGTCACTACCATATAATTCATTAGTGCTAAGAATCAAATGTATAACATGTTGTGTAAAATACATGTCTGAAATTTGTTTCCAATTATTAAATCATCCCGTGATGGTAAACAAATAATAATTAGGGTTACTATTGTTGGAGAATTGTAATGTGAGGTGTGAATATTAAAACGTGGAAGCTTTCTTGCCCATGATTCCATCACACATGGGAAGGGAAGGGGCATTGTGATACTTTATCTAGAAAGACATTAAATATAATACCACTTTAACTTGGTTTTATAGTATTAATTAAAGTAAAGAACTATTTAGTATATTGACTTCCAAATTTCAGGATCTGGCGTGTAAATTTTATGAATGATGGACATGTTTAAAAGTAGACGGATTAAAACTGTTGTCTGACAACTTAATGAGTGGTTAATTGCGTTTTACAAAAATACTTAAAAGGTCTTATGAGTCATATAAACGGTTTCTAATGAAGCACCTAAAACTTTCTTTCGAAAGCACTTCGAGGTGTGTTTTACATACAGAACTTAATTTTTTTACATGCAATCGGCATTCTTCCAACAAAACACTTCTAACCAAAGCATTTCCTATAAAAATAATTTCAAACAAGCCTAACTCAGTGTAAAGGTTGGTCATTAGATTATTATTATTATTATTATTATTATTATTATTAAACTCGTCATCTATGAGATTTGAATATAAAATTTTTCATTTATTAATGAAGAAGAATATTATTATACCGTAGTATTAAGTACCAACTATTCAAATTTATATTTACCAATCTGCCATGATGGTCACCATCAACAAGATAAATTAAAAGGAAAACTAATGAAAAATGCTTGAAAACTTTGAGTTTTAACGATAAGGACAAAATAAAAGGTAAAGTGAATAGTACCAGAATTGACTTTTTAGTGTAAAATTGTGGTTTTTCGTTAAAATGAACAGTACCGTGGGCTTTTCTTTAAAACTCCCTAAATTAAAAGGACTATAATTTGAAAAATAACATGCCCATCGTATATCGTGCAGCCAGTTTTCGTCAGGTACTATTTGTGTTTAATTTTAAATATAAAAAAAAGAAATAATTTCTGACCATATGACACATGATGAATGATTGAAATGTGAAGATTGTTAGAATCCTCACAATTTGGATCTGGATGGAATCTTTACCATACCCCTTGGTGCCATTTGGACTTTCAAGGTTTAGATTGAAAGAAACATTCCCTCGTCGCAACTTGGTTAGAGCCCGTCCTTCACATACCACGCCAATTTTCTATCTTCGTAAATCAGATAAGAATATCTTTCTGCATTATTTATTGGGACGGATCCATGATATGTTTTTTACACAACTTTTAACAGAGAGTTTTTATAAGACTTATTCTCTAATGTATTTTAACAACTCAAACTGTCTATCTTTCATAACATTATTTATAGATCATCCTTATAAAAAATTAGATAAATCTAAAACCATTAAGACATTCATTTGTAATGAAGAAAATAAACGAATACGGTTATATAAAAAAACCTAAACTCTTAGAAACCCTAAACCTTTATCTAACAGTCATGTGATCTTAGATTTGGGTGATTTTTGGTAGATATGACCTTTGAGGAAAAATCTTAAAGATTAACGGGTCAGATCATTAAAATACATTTCGGAGTGAGCCTCACAAACACTTGTGTCAAAAGTTGTGTAAAAAAATAATGTCACAGATCCGCTCCTTATTTATGTATACATCCTATTTCTTTCTTTCTTTTTATCTTTTATTGCTAATTTATTTTTAATTTCTTTAGTTTATGTGTAACATCCCACATCGCCTAGGGGAGTGGATCATATAAGCTTTATATGTATATTCCCATCTTTACCCAGCACGAGGCCTTTTGGGAACTCACTGGCTTCGAGTTCCATAAGAACTCCGAAATTAAGCGAGTTCGGGGCGAGGGCATTCCCAAGATGGGTGACCCATTGGGAAGTTCTCGTGTGAGTTCCCAGAAACAAAACCGTGAGGGCGTGGTCGGGGTCCAAAGCGGACAATATCGTGCTACAGTGGAGTCGAGCCCTGGATGTGGTGGGGGCCCGGGCCGGGATGTGACATTATGCCTTATAAAAGGGTTTGGTCTAAGTTTTGAATGCAGTTTTTTGCGGTACACAACCATCTAAATTTGGTTGTAAGCAAAAGAAAAAACAAATACACACCATCCAAATTTGACTAAACAACGTGATTCCTCACTTGTAGAAGTACATAATTTGTTTGACCATCTCATGGAAGTGGGTGGGAGCTTAATGCCATCAAGCAAGCCCTTGACTTCAAGCATGCTCGAACCAAAACTAGATAATTCACATTCTATCAGCCGAGAAGGGCTAAGAGCGAGTCGGGGTCCAAAGCGGACAATATCGTGCTACAGTGGAGTCGAGCCCTGGATGTGATGGGGGTTCGGGCCGGGATGTGACATTATGCCTTATTTGGTCTAAGTTTTGAACGCAGTTTTTACGGTACACAACCATCTAAATTTGGTTGTAAGCAAAAGAAAAAACAAATACACACCATCCAAATTTGACTAAACAACGTGATTCCTCACTTGTAGAAGTACATAATTTGTTTGACCATCTCATGGAAGTGGGTGGGAGCTTAACGCCCTCAAGCAAGCCCTTGACTTCAGGCATGCTCGAACCAAAACTAGATAATTCACATTCTATCAGCCGAGAAGGGCTAAGAGCGAGGAGTGATCCACTTGAAGCAAGCTTCTTACCTATTCACGCTAAACCAATTCGTAGAAGAAAGCTTCACTAATGCCCAATCGGGCACCATAGACTTTAATAAGATGTCCCAATCCCCATAGGCAGCGGTGGCATCACGACTTCAAGCCAAATCTACTAGAGGTCGATCTCTTAGAAGGCCGAACGGCGAAGTTCGGTTTTTGAATAAAAGATATTACTACACTAACGAGAATCAAACCTAAGAACTCTCACTTACAAGTGAAGAGGAATACAGCTGTAATAACAAGTAGTGTAGAAGTACATAATACTACAAACAAACGAATTAAGCATCTTCAAGTGTATGAGTGTACGTAAGCGTGAAACTGTGACTATTTTTAGCGCTCTTTTGTTATTGTCATGCAACAATGGGTGGGGAAGGACTAGGATTTTCTCCTCTCCTCTTTCAATTCCCTTCTATCCACTCCTCTCACATTCTCTTATTTTATCTTTCTCTTGCTATAAAAAATTAATATAAGATGTTCACGTGGCTTAACTGCGACCGTTCAATTAGGACGGGAGGGAATGGGAGGGAAAAAAAGATGGGAGATAATCCTACTCTGGAAAAAAAAAAAAAAAAAAAAAAAAAAAAAAAAGTGAAATGACATCTGGCCGGACTATACTCGCAACTTCCCTTAACCTATAACTTCTGCTGCGCCAAAATGGAAACTTCTAATAAACTCTAATTTCCTATTTTTGTTTTGGACCATTGAAGATGCTCTAATAAGAGACAAATATGTCAACTCCATCCCTCACTGTCTAGACTAATCTTCACGACAGGAAAATAAATAACATAAAGGGATTTGAAAATAAACGTTTTCAACCCTTTAAAAACCTTTATATTATATTCACGACACAATTGAAGAAAAGAGAGGAGGAAATTTAATAACGGAAGGGGATTTGAAAATAATCGTTTTCAAATGAGGATCCTCTTTGGATTCTCTTTGTGAGGATTTCGGAAATCCTCTTGTGAAGATTCCGAGGATTCTCAAATCGTGTTCATTTATAGTATATCGTGCGACTAATTTTCGTCAAGTACTGTTCATGTTTAATTTTAAATAAAAGTATTTAAAATAATTTCTGATCGCATAATGCACAATAAACATACACAATTTGAGAATTTTTAGAATCTTTACAAAAAGGATAGGATCCTCATTCATCGTTTTCAACCCTTTGAAAACCTATATATTATTTTTTATTCTTAGATCCTAAAGAACAAGATTAAAACTTGGGGATTTGAGCCCAGAAGAGGGTTGGTATTTTATAAGGTATAAACAAAAAAGTCAAAAGTAACATGTGGATCAACAATAAAGTTGGC